CGCTCCCGGCCCGCTCGGCTCCGCGTCGGCAGCGGCGCGGTGCAGGCGCGAGGGCCGCGGCCGGGGATGAGCTGACTGCGGCGGGAGCGTCGCCCCGGCCCCCGCGAGGCCGCCCGCCGCCCGTCGCCCGCCGCTACCATGTACGTACGCGTCGCCGTCCTGCCGCGGTCCGGGTCCGGGACGCGCCGCGCGCCCTGGCTGCGCCCGCCCGCTCACCGCGCCCCTCTCGGCCCCGCAGGTCCATCCACATCGTGGCTCTCGGGAACGAGGGCGACGCGTTCCACCAGGACAGCCGGCCGTCGGGGCTCATCCGCACCTACCTGGGGAGGAGCCCGCTCGTGTCGGGGGACGAGAGTAGCTTGTTGCTGAACGCCGCCAGCACGGTCGCGCGCCCGGTCTTCACCGAGTACCAGGCCAGCGCGTTCGGGAACGTCAAGCTGGTGGTGCATGACTGTCCCGTCTGGGTAAGGGGCAGCGGCTGCGCGGTGCTCAGGCAAAGGAGCCTGGTTTTTTGGACCTCTCCTCCCCTCGCTTCCTATTTTCCTGGCTGCCTGGCGAGAGTTTGGTTTTGGTTTTTTGTTTTGTTTTTTGTTTTTTACCTTTTTGGCAAATCTCGTCCTTTGTTTCAGTTTGGAGGTGCCGGGGCAGCGCAGTGAAGTCTGGCAGGTAAAAAGCCCCAGGGCCATGTGGAGCAGTTACTGCGCTTCAAGACTGTGGCGTGTCCATTAGTGGACAGCTGACAGTCTAGTGTGCCAACCCCAAGGGACTGGGGCACGAAGTTCCACTGGCCAAGAGTCATGTTTTCATGTCCACTCCGTGGAGGATAGGGAGAGGTGTTCTATAAATACCGCCCTTCACAACCCAACACAGGCAAAAATACTCTTCACCGGAACAGGTCAGAAATGCATGGGAAGAGGGAGAAAGGATGGGGTTTGAGAACTAATTTTAAAGGCTTGTTTGTAAACTGTCAACCTCTGAAAAAATAGTTTTTAAGAATGCAATTACTAATGTATTAGCCCTTTGTTTTTAGTGATTAGTAAGTCAGAAATACCACTAACATTACTGAGAACTTGAAAAAAGTCATGTTTGTGATAGTTGAATGACAGAAATCTTAGCCTGAGTGTTTGGCTAAAGGACAAAGGAGTCAGCTCCTTGACTTAGAACTATCTTCACGACACAGTAGCATTATGCTTCAGTGTTTTCATTTATCTTTAAACCTGCGATGCCTTGACATTGTAGTTATACGTGTTTCAGCTAAAGATTACTATATATAAACTTTGGGGTTTTAAAAAGGCTACAAATTATGTGAGATTCTTACATTAAAAAAGCAGCTTTAAAAAAATTGAATCAGACCTAAGGGTAGCTAGCATACCTTTAAACAGAAATGTATAGAATAGAGTGAGAGAATTTTTTGAGCATAGTTTCCTAGTATGGAAGAAGCCACTCGTTAACTGGAAACTCATATTAATGTGCTGAAATAAATTTAAAATAGACTTTTCAATTCGAAGATGCTACTCAGGCTCTAGGGATGATGGTGAGGCCACGAGGCAGGACTTGTGGGCTGATGTCTGAGCACATTTACTCTCTGCCTTTTTATTATGAAATATCTTACAGCCTAAAAGCGTTACTTGTTCATCGTACTGTTGAACAAACGCCTAGAGGGTTGATGGGATAGATACAGAGGAAATAAAATAAGATGAATTAGGATGTTGGGAATGCTTTTCCTGGTTTTAAGTTGAGCTGTTAACCCTTTCCTGCCTGTGTTGTTTGGGAAAGAGCCATCCATTTTATAAAACTCAAATAGATAAAATCTTCAAAACAGATGAGATAAGCTCCATAGTCCTGACTCTTGGCATGCGCTGTTACGGCTATTCAGGGGATTCTCATTTTGTGTGCTCACAGTCTGTGACGCCAAGTTGGTCAACAGGTACAATTTCTCGGGTTAGGACGACCCTTCAGACACAATGAATTACATACATAGAATTTATCACTCTGGGGCTGGAGAGATAGCTCAGCCATTAAAGATTAGGCTCAAAACCAGAAATGTAAGAGTTATTCACTCTGAGACACTGGGTTTTCCTCTTGAATGTAAGTAAATTCTTCCAGAAATATGAAGGTTGGTTATACCTACCAGCTGGTATTGGCCTATGTACTGAATCAGAATAGCAAACACAGTACTTTTTGACAACAAAGGCACTAATTTCAGATCTCCACATTGCTATTATATATGTTGTTGGTTTTATTTATTTATTTATTTATTTTTTTTTGTGAACCTCTCTCTCATCTCTCAGGTTTATTTTTCCTGTCTATCCTGGAGCTGTGCTGAGGGGTAAAGTCCCAAGTCTGGGGGCTGTGGGTGCCACAGAGGTGATAGCTGCTGCAATAAGTTGCATATTACAGCTTTAGTGTACATTATTATGCTAAGCATGGGAGGCTTTCTCATGTCGATCAAGGTTCACACCACTGCAGGACCTACTGTACACACTAATCAAACACGATGACATTCTTGTTTCCTTGCAGAAACTCAGATTTTCCTTTTTTTAAATTTCATTTTTTAGATGAATTTGATTCTCCAGTGTTGCATAACATCCCAGTGAAATCCTGGAAGTGATTTGCAAGGGGTTGGGACATGTTTCTAGAAACCAGTGGAACATTTTCTATGTGGCATGGCTTAAAAAGAAAGGTGTTGCTCCTGCCTTGGAAGGCGCTTCCTGTCCAGAGTTACTTCCTGTAGCTCGCTACCCTCTGGCTGCCTCTGTGTGCTTGGTGCTTTTTTAGTAAACTTGCTTCAGAGTCATCAGATGAAGGTCATAGCTTAGATTCTCTACCTCTCTCTTTTGCAGTCATTTAATTTCATATTTCTAGATTTTTATTTTCTTTTCTGTGTGGAATATGTTCTAAAGCAACAAGGTAAGCTGGGCATCCTGGCTCATGCCTATAATCCCAGGATTTGGGAGGCAGAGGAGTGAGGATTATGAATTTGGGCCAGCCTTGGCTACATGAGCCTGTCTCAAAAAAACTGGAAATGCATAAAAAATTAATGAACCATGAAGTGATATGTTTATATTTTCTTGTACAGTGTTTGAAGCTCTGGATTGCATTACAAATAAGTGTTCATAGTTGTTTTATCCTCAACACCACAGAGTAACTTAATAATACTCTCAGATCCAGGGTCAGGAGCCTCATCATTTGAGATATCAAAGCCTTCTAATTAATAATACTCAAACCTCCTTTCCCCCAGGTTCTCTCTCACTCTCTTTCTCTCTCAAGACAGGGTTTCTCTGTATAGCCTTGGCTGTCCTGGACTTGCTTTGTAGATCAGGCTGGCCTCAAACAGAAATTCGCCTGCCTCTGCCTCCCCACGTGCTAGGAGTACAGGCGTGTGCCAGCATGCCTGGCTCCCATGTTTTCTCTTAAATGTCTCTTCTCATATAATTCTCCAGTAACTCTGGGATTGCAGACTAGCACGATGTGAAAAAACATTCTTGCTTGTTCTTTGGGCGTTGAATGGCTGCTTGGTCCAGTTTATGAATCCCACGTCTCTGACTCTTCTCTTGTTACCGTTACCCATCAGCTCCCATACTGTGTTGCCCTTATATGTTCTGAAGCTGAATGTTTACAGATACAGCTAGGACCAATGGATTTCAGGGACTTGGGACTTGGGAAGTAGGTGTTTTCATCTTCTTGGGCTGTGTCTGTGTCCTTACTTTTCCCTCACCCTTTACCCCTTATATCCTAATACTGTATCCTCATCCATATTCAGTCCTTTGCCTTTGGCAGTGACAGTTGTGTTTGCCTTTCTCTTTCTGTTCTTTTGAACTCCTTTCAAATATGCTGTATCTGTTTTGTTTTTGATAAGGTATCCTTTTTAAAAATTCTGTTTTGAATAAGCTTGCTGTTTTGAATGAGGGATAGGCAGGTGAGGTGTGGCGATGGGACAAGAACTTTTCTCTAGAAAGGGCTTTTCTGTCACAGGCTAAAAGCTCTGTCCTATAAGTCTTGTTTGACTGGCTGGTTTGAACACTGTTAGCCCTGTTTTGGTCTCACATATCAGCGTGTAAACTTTTGTAACCCAACAGTACACTGTTGGGTACAGAGTACTGGCCTCTTCCAATAAGGGCACCCCTCCTAACAGTTCCACCAACAGTGGAACAAGTTTTTGGAAGTCTATGGGGCCATCCTCTTTCAAACCACCACGCCATTAAAAAAATACATTTTCATAACTTCTTAAAACCAACATACACTAAACGTTTAGACAAACGGGTTCTAATGATAAGTGATCTGACAGTTTGGGATTGCTTTGAAGATAAACAAACTAAAAGTTGACTTTGCGTTTGTGTTTAGGACATTTTTGACAGTGATTGGTACACCTCCCGAAACCTCATTGGGGGTGCCGACATCATTGTGATCAAATACAGTGTAAATGACAAGTTTTCATTCCACGAAGTAAAGGATAACTATATTCCAGTGGTTAAAAGAGCATCAAACTCAGTTCCGGTAATCATTGCTGCTGTTGGTACCAGACAAAATGGTAAGTACACAACTTTCTTTCTTTATAATGATCATGCAGGTGCCATGTTCGCAAAGCTGGGTTTATTAGTAATGGATGATTAATACAGGGTTATTCTGGGTTCAGGTCCCAGCTGGCATCTCATTGTTCTGTACAGTAGCCAGACGTCAGCGGAGAGGCTCAAAACCTTCCACCAAGTTTCCATACCAGCCTTCCCTTAAGTTACTCTTCTACTGTCCGTCAGTAATTGTGTTGTTTGACATATGAAATGTATTATTAGGCTGGCTTCGAGCCTTAATAACTTCATGTTGGCTATCTTAAGGTCCATTTGATGGGCACAGATAGATTACCCATGAAGAGATGTGGGCAGGGTGATTGGACAGATAACGGGGAGTGAGCCAACACTGCCCGGGGAAAGGACTGTGCATTGCTGCGTGCTTGGTAGATTCCCATGGTGCAGGCTGTCCCAGCCTTTGCTGTTGTACAGATGACTATCAGATATCTCAGGGGTGACTTAAGACTTGTTTTGATTTGGTAGTATTTGTTAAGTTTACTCAGTAGTAATTCCTTAGTAAGGTTGTCTTTTAATTTTAATTCTTTGTTTAAAAACTTAAAAAAAACCATTATGGTATAACAAAATGTCTTAGTTAGGTTTCTATTGCTGTGATGAAATACCATGACCGAAAGCAACTTGGGGACTGTTACACTTCCGGGTAATTCTGTCACCGAGGGAAGTCAGGACAGGACTCATGCAAGGCTGGAACTTGGAGGTGGGAACTGAAGCAGAAGCCCCAAAGGGGTGCTGCCTACCAGCTTGCTCTTCATGGCTTGTGCAGCCCGCTTTCCTATCGAACCGGGACCACCAGCCCAGGGATGGCACTGCCCACAAGGAGCTGGGCCTCCTACATCAATTATCAACCAAGTAGATGTACCACCAGCTTGCCCACAGGCCAGTCTGGTGGGCCACTTTCTCAACTGAGGTTCCCTCTTCCACAGTGACTCTGGCTGGCATCAAGTTGACATAAAACTAACCAGCACAGTAAGGAACACATTATCTGTTAACCCAAGAGTGCAGCTTAGTGTGCTTTCCTTAGACATTCGCCCATCCACAGGTGAGGCTTTAGAATAGTTACAGTGCTTCAGGAGACTTCCTTCCATTGCTCCACCAGGGAATTCCAGCCTCCTTAGAGGAAGCTGTTGCTCTGGCTTCTGATATTCTCACCTGCTCTGGACAGCATACAGAGCTGCACAGTAGGAGTGTGTATATATTGCCTCCTCATTTAATTGCTGTATATTAAGCCATTGTGTAAATGTGCCATAAACTATGTCTCGGCTGTCCTTGTCACACTTGGATTGCCCCTTCCAGCGGATTGCTGGCTCAGAGGGCAGGTGTATGTTTTGAGCTAGTACTTACAGAGAAAACAAGCTTGACCGGCCCTTGACCTCACAGTCTCCGGACTTCCCTATCTTTTTTCTTTCCTGTCTGTGATCCTTGGAAAAGTTATCCTTAGTTCTTGTGTCCAGCCTCCTGCAGCCTCACGGTCAGCTGGTGCATCTGCCTTGAGTTCTCCAGAGTGAGCACTGTATGCCTGTTTGTCAAATTTGTTGCACTTTAGTAACAATTCTCTCATTGAAACTATCCAAACACTTTCCCCTCCACTCTAGCTACTGTTTTCTGGTTCTTCTAATATCTCCCTTAGTCTCTGGTCTCCTCCCTATCTGCCTATGTGCACCCGCAACACACAGAGAAGGGCAGATATTTGGAGGTCTCCAAATTTACACAATTTTTACATTCACAAATTTAGGCACATTAAAATACAAAAAGAAATATTTATAATACACAAAGAAAACATAACAAATTTCAAATATGAAAAAACTGCCAGAAGCTTACTACTTCTTCAACTTTTCTTCTTTTATCTGTTGGCTTGTGAAGTCTTCATATGCATTACTTTGTGGTATCTCCTACAGACAGAAGGGATAATTAGTTTTTCCTCTAATTTCTTCATTCTCTACATCTTTCTGGCCCCAGGCACCTGAGTTCATGTTGTGCTGATATTTCGGTTTCTGATGTCAAGTCATCATTGTGTGGCCAGAATATTTCTGGAAGTCACTCAATTACCAGGACAGTTATCACACACTTACCTGTTCCAGGAGATGCTGCAGACCATGAGTGACAGCTTTCTGAACCTAAAGTTAATTTACCTAGTAGCATCCAGAAGACACTGATGGCTCCTTCATAGTGGCCCCATTCCGTACAAACCTAAGAGTGGAAAAAGGGGAAAGAATTAATCAAATACACATTTTATTTTGCCAGGTTTATAGCAGCGTTTAACTCTGTGGGAGAATGCAGTGTTGAGTTTTTTCCCACGGAGTTGCAGAGATACTACAGATGGCCTTGAAGCTTCAGCTTCATTTAGACTGGCCTCTGGCCTCCTGTTTTTGGTTTTCCTCTTTCTGAAATAAACTCAGAAAAAATCATGTCAGAATACAAGTCGAGCAACACAGCCAGTGCTTGGAATCTTTTAGGAACTTCATTCCTCACTTTTATTTTTCCAAGCCTCAAATGTAAAATATTGGCAAGAATAAGACATTGAATCTCAGAATTTATCACACACACACACACACACACTCATACACAAGCATGCACAAACACCCAGACCCACACCCATCACACACACACACACACACACACACACACACACACGCACACACACACGCACATGCATTTTCTCTTCTAAATCATTTGAAACTACATTGTAAACATGGGATTTTCTTTCACTCCTGATTGGTTTAATAGTCATTGTATAAGGACAAGGTTATTATTCACCTCTTGCCCATAGTAGGCCATCACTCAAGAAATGTGACATATTGTTATATGTGATACTATTATTTAAAATATTTACATTTATGTTTCTTGCTTATCCCAGTGATTTATAGCTATGTTTTCCCCCCAGTTCAAGATGTAAATACTAAGCTATGTTTAGTTACCCTATCTGTTTCATATCAGAGATTCCCATTAGTACTTTTCTTCTTATCCAGCATTTGTATTCATGTTAGTAATTTTGTATTGTAAATGCCTTGTCTAAAATAGGAAATCCTTCATGATCTGGCTTCTGACTCTTTCTTGAACATTGTAGGGCAGAATTTCCATTTTCTGTAACGATCACACTGGACTCCTTAAAGAACCTGATGATTTCCCTTTTCTTTGAAGGTCTCTTAACTTCCGGCTTTAGCTGCCAGCGTCCTACAGTTTTTGTTCTCTTTACAGGCCTTCGGTGGGCAGATATTGATAATTCTGGATTCTCCTGACACCCTTAGCTTTCTTATTTTCTGTTGATGACTCCTTTTTCCCTTTCCCTCACCATTCTTCTTTTTGGTAGCATCTCACCCAGTAGCCCAGGGCGGCCTTGAACTCATGGTCTTTCTGCCTCTGCCTACCAAGCATTTAGATTCCAGAATCCCTTTATGTTGCTTTGTTCCTGGCCTTGTCTCTCTGGCTTGTACATAAGTTTATCTGCCACTTGATTAAAATTTTAATTTCAGGGGCAGGAGAGATGGCTCAGAGGTTAAGGGTGTTGACTGCTTTTCCAGAGGACCTGGGTTCAATTCTCAGCACCTACATGGCAGCTCATAACTGTCTAAAACTCTAAGATCTGACACTGTCATACAGACATCATGCAGGCAAAACACCCATGCACATAACATTTAGGAAAATTTAAAAAATTAATTTCAACTTTTTTTTATACTTAAAAATCTCTAAATAGTTCATTCATAGTTTTTTGTTCCTGACTTAAAGATACTTTTAGATACTTAGAAATACTTAAAGATACATTTACTTAAAAATACTAAATTAATTATAGTTAATTAGTCTCTTTGGTTGAATGTTAAGTGGGTTTTGTTTAGGCACTATAAGTCTGTTCAGTGAGATTTTTGTCTCAAGATATAGCTGTTTCTCAAACGGTGGGAACTTTTTCGTTCACCTTTACACTTCATTTCCCAGCTGGAGTGATTCCTTTCTCCCGCACTGCCCAGCTGCTGTCTGTGGCTGGGGTGGAGGTGAGCATGCCCACAGTGGGTCCAGCTCTCGCCTTCCAGCAGCGTGCTTTGGCCAGCTGCCAGCTGTTTGCCTGCGTGCCCGCTGGTTCCTGCTTGCCACGTCTGAGTTGTGAGCGTTCTGCACGCTGTTCCAGTGAGGGAAATGCCCCTGTAGTCCGGCTTCACAGTCAGGCCTCGGCTGGTGCTGTCTGCTCTCATTCTGCTGTGCATTCCAGGCGTCATCTCACTTAATTTTACTGTTGCTGTGTACCAGCCCTCTCTCCTAACTTTCCCCATCCCCTTCCTCCTTCATTCCTTCTCTCTTTTGACAGTTTCCCTTTCAGTCACTTACTTGGTTTGGCAGGTGGGGGAGATGGCAGCATGGGCTTAACTTGCCATCCTAATGCTTTAAAAGTGGAAATGTGGTACTAGAATGATGGCTCAGTGGTGAGGAGTACCTGTTGATTTTCCAGGGGACCTGACTTCAATGCCTAGAACAACTGCTTGGAGCTCCAGGGAAATCAGCATCCACTTCAGGTTCCACAGGTTCCCACACACATGTAGTACACACACACACACACACACACACACACACACACACACACACACACAAATAAAAGTTATGAAAATAAATATTTTTTTTTTAGTGGAAATGTGTTTCTCCTTGTTCTGGCCCACACTTCTGCCCACACTATCTCGTCTGGCTGAAGTGCTCCTTGCACAGCTCATATTGTAACTACCTAGCAAATTCATTTTCCTTTGAACTTTAGCTTTTCTCTTCAGAGTTCACGTCCTCCCCTCCCACCCTTTGTAACTTTGCAAAGGTAACTTTGTATACTTTTATTTTAGTGTTCTCCCTGTCGGAAATGTTTCTGGAACTCACCTGCCTTGGTTAGTTGGTCATGAGTCAGCTTTCTATCCTTCTATCCCGGTTGGTAGTAGGTACTAATAAACATTTTTTCTAAGGATAGATACATTGTTTTATGAATACTCTAAAGGAAGAAAGTAATTTTCATTAACATTGTGACATGAATTGACTAAAGATGTGATTCCATAGTGATTATGGAGCCAAATCTGGCTGTTAGCTCACCTGCTTTCTTGTTCCCCTCCACCTCATCCCCTACAATACACTTCACTGAGCTGGGTAATTTTGGTAATTTTCTTGGAAATCTTGTTAGAACTCACAAGAGTGTACACATACGTGCATTTTTATGTCTTACTATGCATACGTTTTTGTTTGTTTGAGATAGGGCTTGCTATGTAGCTCAGGCTTATCTTGAGTATGCTATCCTCATATTTCAGCTTCTGAAAGGCTGGGATTACAATCGTGTCTGACCCTGTTACACTTTTTCTTTTCTTTCTTTCTTTTGACAAACTTGGCAATGTGGATGTCTTCATACTTGGCTCAGAATAAATTTTTGGCTTTTTGTTTTTTTGAGACAGTGTCTCACATAGCCAGACTGACCTTGAACTCCTTATATAAACAAGAATAACATTGAATTTGTACTCCTCCGGTATCCATCTCACCGTTACTGGGATTGCAGGTGTGGGGCACACTCCGTGGTTTATGCGGTGCCTCAGATAAGCACATACTCTTCTCATGAGCCAAATCTCCAGCACAAATCCTTGGGTTTTAGTACACAGTGAAAATACCCTTGAAGGGGAAATCTGCACAGTGTCCTCCAGATACCTTCAGTTTTAAGTTTCAGTAGATGGCCACCTTGCCTTTTGAGTTACTTATTTTTTTCAAGTTATCTTTCGAGCCCTGAAAACGTCATTTATTGCTGAACTAGCATTTTTAAAAGAATTCCTGAAATATGCAAGCAAGGTCAACACTGTAAAGAGTACCCTGTTCTCAATGCCACTACTTTGAAAAATATGCTATTTAATTGAATGCAGGACTGCACTGTTTAAAAGGCGAAGACCTCGCTAACTCTGATTCCCAGAGCCACTGCGGCCCTTAGGCAGGCAGATCTCTATGAGTTCAAGGCCAGTCTTTCTACATAGTGCAGCGGTTCGCAACCTGTGAGTCACGCATGACACGGCCCTTTCACAGGGGTCACACATCAGATATCCGTTTACATTACGATCTATAATGACAACAAAATTACAGTTATTAAAGTAGCAACAAAAATAATTTGTTGGTTGGGGGTCACCACAACCTGAGGGACTGGATTAAAGGGTTGCAGCATTAGGAAGGCTGAGAACCGGTGATGTGGTGCGTTCCAGGACAGCCAGAGCTCTTAGACCCTGTCTCAGTAAACATCGAGTAAATGAATGTTATTTTGGTTCCTCTGGTCATTATATGCTTAATATGAATGTATTTTAATCCAGAAGTATTTTATTGACTCCTATAACCAACTCAAGACAGACTTGTAGAGACTCTCAAGGGAACTGCATCTATGGATGAGGAAACATACATAGGAAGAGTTCACAAGACACCCTCAGGATGACCAATTGGGAAGAATTTTGTTTCAAGCAGGTTTGAAGAAATCCTGTGAAATCCAGAAATGTGTAACTAGCAAAGTGACAGCTGATTATGTGGCAATTCCCCTTTTTTGCTGAGTGAGTAGAAAGAAATGTCTTCAGTAACATGAGAATGGGCACATCATGGATGTCACGCTGCTGGCTTCAAATGAAAATTATTTTTCCTCAAAGTTGGTTTGTTAGCCGTTTTTGTAAATCAGTTTCATTTTCCTCTTGAGACATTGATGACTTCATTTAATTTTTATCCAGAAGTAAAGCTTAATAAGGTGACCTGCTACATAAGGAGACCTTTGTAGACCTCAGAAGGCCTCTGTCTTCAGAAAACTCACAGTGCTATTCACAGAGACCTCCTAAAGAATGACAGAAGCCAATTGTTCTTTCTTAAGACAGCCTAAATGCTACATGAACAGCTTGCTACAGACTGAAAAAGTCTTAGAAAAAGTACGCTCAGATTAGAACGTATGGCATAATTAAAGAATCCAGGCTGAATAATGTTTCTGAACACTGTATTTTGGGAACTGATAATCTCCATTCAAACCTTTTTATTCAGTTTTTGGATATGCCACTTTTATGTGTCAGGTGGAGCCAGTGAAAATTTTGTCTTTGTTTTTTTGTCTTTGCTTTGCAAGACCAAGACAAGTCACCTGACTGATCTGAGCTGCAGTTTCCTCCTCTGTGAAATGAAGATGAGAGGACATGGGTTCTCATGGTTTTATTTTTATTTATTTATTTAGTTTTGGAGATGCAGTCTTTCTAGGTAACTGTCCTGGAACTCACTATGTAGACTACGTTGGCCTGGAACACACAGAGATCTGCCTTCCACAGCCTCCTGAGTGCTGGGATTGAAGGCGTGTGCCACAAGACCCATTGGTTTCTGGGCTTTAAAATGAAATAGTTCAGTGGGTAAAGGTGCTCGCTGCCAAGACTGAAGACATGAATTCGATTTCTGGGACCCACGTGGTAGAAGGAGAAAACTGACCCTAGAAGTGACCTTTTGACCTTCACTCACACACTGTGCCGTTCATCCCATACATTCACACGGGCGCCATCTGTATACAAGTAACTGTGTTGCTCAAATGCTTTTTCATGGCTCTTCTATACACTTCCACAGTGATAGGATTGTTGGCTGATGCTACACACAGTGTTTTAGGCATGCTTCTCTGCAGATCAGAGCTGCTTTGCACACAGCAATGTCCTCTCGATGAATATAGCTCTTATCTAATCACTGGGTAGAGGTGGGACACAGAGGCTCAGTTGGCGTTCTTTAAAAGGCTAGCCTCCAGAGAGCCTGTAGGATGAGGTGTGATCTTGGGTAAAAGTGCATGGTTTTTGATAGCTTTCTTCAGACACATCCCTCACTCCTGAGAAGAATTGTTCCAGGATCTCCATGGTGGCTAGGTTTTTATCAACTTGACACAGTTGCAGTCATTTTAGAGGAGAGAACCTCTTAATTAGTGGTTGATGCAGAGGGTCCAGCCTGTTGTGGGTGGGACCATTTCTGGGCTGGTGGTCTTGGGTTTTGTATGAAAGCAGGTAAGCAGCACCCGTCCATGGCCTCCACATCAGCTTCTGCCTCCAGCTTCCTGCCCTTTTCTGGTCCTGACTTCCTCCCATGATGAACCGTTCTACTGAAGTGGGGTGAAGAAAACACTTTCTTCTCCTTGTTGGTTTTGGTTCCATCACTACAGTGATGAGCCTAACTAGGACCGTCACCAAGCAGTAACCACCCCAACCACATCCTGCATGTTAGAGAGTGCTTCCCAGAACCACCAGCCAGCAACAACACACCCTTCTCGGAGTGTAGCTGGCTGGATATGTCATTGATGTTCTTCCTTTAGTAATATTCTCGCACCTGTTTTCTGAGCCACTGTTTGTGCTCTGGATGTCAACACTTGTTATCTATGGACTTTTTCTTTGTCCACACTGTCACTTCTTACTGAGAGTTTAGTGTAGCGATTCTATTCATTAAATGTTCCTGCCACCCATGCAGTTTTTCCAGCTTCATTGCAAACCTCTTTGTTTTTACCTTCCTCTCCTCAGAAGAACTACCTTGTACATGCCCCCTGTGCACCTCAGACCGAGGGAGCTGCGTTACAACCACAGAAGGCATCCAGCTTGCTAAAGAGCTGGGGGCCACCTATCTGGAGCTCCACAGCCTCGATGACTTCTACATTGGAAAGTATTTTGGAGGAGTGGTAAGTGGAAAGCCCCGCCACATGTGGTCATCCGTCAGACCAGTACCTTAGCTATTCCCTAGGGCATCAGTTGGAGCCTCAGTTTTAGAAGCATAATTTGTTTTAACCTTGAGAAACGATGAGAGGTAGTGGCTTAGGCTTGATCAGCCTAAGATTTTTTTTTAAACCATCTATTATGATTATTGGAATATTTCAAAATTGGTACTATATTGGTCCTTGTATATGTGAAAGTTCATGTATTCTTACATAAGCCTACACAGTTTATAGTGATTTTGTGTGTGTGTGTGTGTGTGTGCGTGCGCATGTGGTCGTGGGTGCATATGTTCATACTTGCATGGGCAGAAGGCCGGAGGACACCCTCAGGTGTGCTCAGACACTTCACCGTTTTTAAATGCAGTGACTCTCGCTGGCCTAGAACTTGACTTGTAAGCTGGTCTGGCTAGTCAGTGCCCCACAAAGTACTTGTGGCCTCTTCTGGCCTTCAAAGCAAGCACACTTCATCATGCTCAGGGTGAAGTTTTGGGGTTGCGGCAGGGGAAGGGAAACACATACGTTGTGTGTAGAGACCAGAGGTCAATCTTGAGAATTCTTTCGGTGTTCTCCACCTTATTTTGTGACAGAGGTCTCATTGGCCTGGGGCTCACCAGAGGCAAAGCTGGCTGGCCAGTGAGCCTCGGGAATCTGCCTGTCCCAACCTTCCTAATGATGAGATTACAAGTACCTCCCACCATGCCCAAGACTTTTTTCCACATGGATCAGGTCCTTGTATTTGCAAAGTAAGTACTTTACCGACAAGCCATCGCCCCATCCTGGTTTATAATAATTAGCATACAGCTGAATGAACCTGGCAGCCTGAACCAGTGGGCCCTCTTTCTTAGTTGAAAACAATGATTTTCTTTTATGTATATTCAGCAAGACTTCCCAACCAATCTGTACTTCAAATGTACACTCAGTTCTAAATACCTTTCCTTCGGGGCTTAGAGAGCTATGTGCAAATGTCACTTACACAGAGTGTGAAAGCCAGAGAGGATGGATGACACCAAGACAGTGGCTTCCAAAGGCAACAGGACTGACACACATATGAACTCACAGAGACTGTGGCAGCATGCACAGGGCCTGCACAAGTCTAAGCCAGGTGTGTTCCTAGTGCTCAGGGGGAGAAGGGCACAAGAGGTCCCACCCCTTCAAGAAGCCATCTCCAGTTGACAACCACTTGCAAAAGAAAAAAACAGTTGTCCTCTTTTTGATGTTGTTGCTGCTGTTCTCTCACTGGTCTTTGCTTGTATATTGTGTTTTCCAATTTTGTGTTTCTGTTTTGTGTGTTTGTCACTCTGTGTTTCTTGTGCCTTTTTGTTTGCTAGTTTATTTGCCTGTTTGTGTTATAAAGAGAGAAATAAGATGTGGACTTGGATGAGTAGGAAGGATCTGGGAGGATCTGCTGGGAGAAACTGTGGTTAGAATATACTGTATGAAAAAGATTTTAAATGAACCCCCCCCCCACATAGTCAGAGGACTGTTATGTGGGCAGCTTCTTGTTGGTGTGGAGGAGCCAGGCTTTGCTTCCTCACTTGCAGGGTATGTGTTGTGCTCATTTTAAGTCTCAGCACACAACATATGTCCCATAGCTCATACTAAGGTCTCTGGAGAAGACTTGCATCGTTTACTGGTCTTAAACTATCCAGCTCTCTAAGAAGTAACCCTTCTCAATAGGTAAATCTGATAATTGTTGGTGAAAGTCAACACCAAAGACAACTCTACCTCAAGTGTGAGATCTCTGGACTTAATTTGTGCTTGTGTTGAAACACTAAAACCACCACAGATGACTATAGAAATTTCATCGTCTGGAGCTCACTAACCTGACTGTAATAAACAAGTATAGCTGATACTAGTTTCTCTTAAACATAAATAGCTACAATTAAGTTCAGTGTTTGTATTGTAGCGGGTTTGCTGTATTTTGATTTGATCAGGAACTGTGCATTTCCATGAGATACTTAGGTAATTGATGTGGGCTGGGTGGGTATCATCTTAATGGTGTCATTTCATGGCTGTGTCATGGGTTGTATCTAGTTTCATTTCTGTTGGGATAAGCGTCTCCTGGCTCTGTATTCCAGCTTCTGGAGCTGAAATCCTTCGGATCACTCCTACTCTTTCTCTTCCTCCTCCTCCATGTTTCTCTCTCTTCGTACTGTTAACAGTGTAGTTGCAGTGAGACACATGAGAGAGACTGAAGATGTGGTCAAGACTGGAAGAAAGACATGGATGGTTCCTTTATGTTAATGCTTAGTAAGAATATGAAATAAAATCAAGATGATCTTGATGTGTGTGTGTGTGTGTGTGTTCACATGGGTGTGCATTTGCACACTTGTATGTGTCACTGTGCACACATGTAGAGGCCAGAAGACCATCTTGGATGTTGGTCCTCACTTTCCACCTTGTTTGAGATGGAATCTTCCCGTCACCACTGATATACCATACCGGCTGGCCCAGGAGCTCTGAGGACATCCCGTCTTCACTCCATCTCTCTTAGGGCTGAGATGACAGACCCGTGTTACCACTTCTGGCTGCACTAGGGCTCGGGGTTTCTATACTGAGCTCCACACACGTGGTCAGCCAGTACGTTACCTCTCCGTGCTGAGCCATCTCCTCAGGTCTGTCAAGACTCCTGAATAGTAATTTGTACCTGGGATTTGTGGTAAGAGATTATGGCATTTGCAAGGATACTGGTGGAGATGATAATGTTGAAGTGAAAGGCATTTAAAATCTTATGTTTCAGTCAGGGATGAAGAGTTGCATGGCATCCTTTTACTCAGGCCTGAGTGAAAGGACTCCTGCCCATGAGGGTTAGAGAGCCCCACCGTCTGGTTGTAGCCCTTCCCATAGGGCGGATTCAAAAGATTGTGACCACCTGGGGTGGATGACTCTCACTTCCTAGAACCGCCTGTGCTTCTACGTGTGGCTCTTACTATTTAGAGTTAAGTTAACTGAAATCAAACAAAATGAAATTCAGTTCCTTGAGTATTAGATAAAGATCACATTTCAGAGTGCTCTGACTTCCCATTTGCAGAGTTTTGTTAGACAGTGTTCTGACTAGGATCCAGACATAGGACTCAGATTACCCAGCCACTGATCGAACGTCTGGTTCCTGCCCTGTGCAAGCCCACAGAAGGTTGAGCTGCAGTGCTTAGGGCCCTTAGACCTGAGAGATAGCCAAGAAAACTGGTTAAAGGGAATCGGGGACAGAAGCAGCTGGACCTTGGGGTTCCCCTTGTGTGCAGAGAATTACTTGAGCATGGGGATGGTAAGTGGGAAGGAAGAGTGGGGTGAAAAGAGGAGAGGTGGGCTTATGATTCAGGCATTAGGGGTGACTTATTCTGTGTTATATGTATTGCTAAGGAGTTTGAAATTTTAAAGCTAAATCTTGTGAACATGCCTGTGTGCGGGTAGGTTTCTCAGAACAGGGAATATAGAATAGCTTTTTTCTCCCTCAAAGTTTGCTTTTATGATTAATATTTTAATATTTTGTTGTGTGGCTGACATCTGTTTGTACTTTTCTAAAACCCAGACCTGGTGAGGTACACCACAGGCCTGGAGCCAGGTTAGTATGTGCTGAGGGGAGTTTTAGTTTGTAAAGGACAATGTGTTAAAGAGAAACAAGTATAGTTGCCTAACTGAAGGGAGCATTCATGGACAGATCTGGCCGTATCTATTACTGCCTTGAATGTCGCAGTATTAACTATAGTGGTTCCCACTGAGGAAACTGCTATAGCCGTGGAATCTCAGTGTGTTTGTTGCTTTTTTGATTATTCCTCAGTGAGTGTACCTGTGTTGAAACAAAACAAATTAATCTTTCTAACTATGTTTTTAATATTAAAAATTATTTACACACGTTTGCTAATATTGCTTATGTTGAAACCATTGGCAGATGTGATTTGGAATAAAGACAATCATGTCAGATGCAATTGTATTGGATTTCTAATTGTGATTTGATTCATGTTTTAGTTGGAGTATTTTATGATTCAAGCCTTAAATCAGAAGACAAGTGAAAAAATGAAGAAAAGGAAAATGACCAACTCTTTTCATGGAATTAGACCACCTCAACTTGAACAACCAGGTGTGGAGAAGACACTTCTTACAAGTCACGCTCATACATCTTAGAGGAATTGCTTTCAAATTTGAGCATGCTCAGAGCCCATCTGACCTTCTCATGCAGTGAACCTGCGGCAGGGGCTGGGCCTTCTCAGCTGCCACTAAAGCAGATGCTGGTAAAACCACACTTCTGGGAAATACCAGCACAAAGTTTGAGCCTGTAGATTCTTAGCATGTGGTAGAGAAGAATGTGGAGATTAAACACTAATGTGATAGCTACTGAAGTCCATACAAAAGTCTTAATTGACTGCTGTTCAATAAGACATTTTTTCTTTCAAGTCACGGTTTCTCTGTATAGCCTTGGCTGTCCTGGACTCGCTTTATATAGACCAGGCTGGCCTTGAACTAATAGCGATCTGCCTGCCTCTGCCTCCCTGAGTGCTGGGATTACAGGCGATGTGTCTCTCCAGCTACCTCAGTAAGACATCTAAAAGGGAACTTTGAGACACTTGATTTTTTTTTTTTTATTAAGCTCATTTTACTTTAACCTCCCACCAGAATCCTCAGCCAGATAACTCTTCTTGGTCCTTGATTTGTAGAATTACTTAACCTTTAATTTATTTTCCAAAGCCCTGTTGTCTTCTAAAATTCATTTCTTATTCAATAATATTCATCACTATCCCACAAAGTCTCTGTACGTTTTTCCAGACAGCATTCTAGAACCCATGCCAAGATCCTACCTCTTTCACCCCTAGAGAGGGCAGGGCCCAAGCCTGATGGTCTCTGGCCACGGGGTACCTGTTCTGTTAACTCCAAAGATACCATTTTCTCTGCATTCCACAAAGCAAAAACGTAGGGGGATCTAATCTAGGGAGTAATTCCTAGAAAGAAATGAAATGGATGTTTGTGTGCTCTGGCTCTGTTTTTGGAAAGTTTTCCCCAGCACAAGTGTTGCAGCTCTGAGGGCAGAGGTTTCCCCTATGTACGTGTTATAGCTCTGGGGGGAAAGGTATCCTGGCAGTTGGGAGGCAAGGAATATCATGAAGTCACACCACACAACAAACTTCACACAAGAGATTTATTGGGAATCCCACAAGACAGTGGCTGCCTCTGCCAAGGCAAGAAGCAGCAAGTGAAATTTTAATATGAACTGAGAATTAGATGAAATTGTAGAGTTAGGGTTAAGTTTTTTTTACCTATTATGATTAATGAGTCCATGTTCAGGGATAATGTTAAGTATTTTCAGGGCCACGGTGGCCCAATGCCTGCAGCCTCCTTTTAAAGAATTCAGCTGCTGTGTGTATCTCTCTTTGTCTGTGTTTGTCTTTGTGTCTAGAGACGAGGTGACATGACAAAGTCATAACTGCAGGACGAGGTAAAGTGTGTATGTGTGTGCGCTGTGTTGTTTATCCAACTGAGTGTAAATATAAAAATCAAATTACACTCATCATTAGCAGGACATTTTGCATGTAGGGAGCCTGGCCTGTAGAGCTGCCAATCAGTGTCACAGACCAGCTTCCAAGCTTTGTTTAGAATAAAGGATTCCGGTTGCTGAGGGAATCAATTCCACTTGCTTAGATCATCGTGTGCCATCCTTTGGCTTGTGTCTGTCTGCTCAGGTTTGCCAGCAAGTGAGAGGCCAGACACCTTACAGTTAGGTTCTGTGAGGAGGACATGATCTGTGGGTATTCTGAGCCAATGGAAAGTTCTCCATTTGATAGGATCAAACTAGTCATGGTGAATCTAAGCTTATGTTCTCCCAAGGAACCCATGCATCGCAGTCAACGCCCTGGCTGAGGTATGCTGAGTGGAGAGAACTTGCTGTTTGGTGAAGTAGATTATTTTACTCGAAGAAAAAGAAGACTAGATCAAAGTTAAGTCATTAAGTGATTTCAGACAATAGAGTAGTTGGACTCACTGCATTTTCTGGAGACATGGAACCATGACACGTTACTTCAGTGACATTGAGCAATTGTCCTTGACATCTCCCTTTGCAGAAGGTCTGCAGATGGGAGAGTAGCCCCTCAGAACTTGGTTGATTTTTTTTTTAATCAGAAGAAGAATATCTTTCAACCCTCATACTAAACCCACATACATTATTTGTGTTTTGAGACACAAATAATGAGAAATGCTGTTTTATTGCTCAAATTGTTAGATTTTCATTTTTACTACAAAATATAAAATCATATTCATGGTGTAGTGCAGTAATTCCAGATGAACTAGTTCATACATGCTTAGGTTAAGCTCTACAAAATCAGTGATTTGTAGGTGAAAACAAAAAAGGGCAATTATTGGTACTTTGTAGGATTTCACCTCAGTTTTAAAGAATACTCATTTTTCGTTATTGGGCCCATAGATGTAAAACAAAAAGGTTATTATTTAAATTTTTCCTCCAAAACAGAAAAGATGCCTGTCTTGAAAGCCGAAGCATCGCACTACCATGCTGACTTGAACAACTTGCTCTTCTGCTGCCAGTGTGTGGACGTGGTGTTCTACCACCCAGAAGTGACAGGCGTTGTGGAGGCTCACAAGATTGTTCTCTGTGCTGTGAGCCACGTCTTCATGCTGCTGTTCAATGTGAAGAGTCCCACTGACATTCAGGATTCCAGTATCATCCGAACCACCCAGGATCTCTTTGCCATCAACAGAGATGCTGTGTTTCCTGGTGCTAGCCAGGAATCTCCCAGCAACCCACCACTGCGAGTCATTGTTAAAGATGCCCTCTTCTGCTCCTGTTTATCAGACATTCTGCGCTTCATTTATTCAGGTACCTTGTCAGATGCTCTGGGCCCTTCTACTCTCTTAAGCTTTCTAGATGAAGGATGCCTGTGGTCCATAGGGCTTGGTAAATTTTACATTTATCTTCTCCCCTGATATCTGAGGTGATCCTTACACATGAAGAGTAGCATTTGCTTTACATGTAGAAATATCCAGGTTTTTTGTCTTCCTGACAAATTCATTTGCCTTATGGGAAAAAAAAAGGCAAAATCACATAGTATACAATTTGCCATTTTAGCCATTTTTAAGTGTATAATCCAACAATATGAGATGCATTTATAGAGTGAAATTATCCTTTTCATTCATCTCTGTAATTCTTTATTTTGAAAATTGAAAGTGTGTTCTGGTTAAATAGTAACTTCTTCAAGCCCCCGGCAGCGTCTTCCTCTCTACAACTGTGAGTTTTGACCACTCTGTGTGCCTTGGATGAGGGCAGTCACCATGCCTGAGATTTGGTGGCTTATTTCACTTACTGTAACATCTTCGGGGTTCACCCACAGTGTCGTTTTTTTTTTTTTTTTTTTTTTTTTAATGCTTTGGAAAGTGTATGGCAGTTGTTAGAAAAATTAAAAACAGAATTACCACATAATATAGCAATTCATTTCTGGATATATTCCTGAATAACTGAAAGTACGGTGTCAAAGAAGAGCTGTATGGCCATGATCAAAGCAGCAATGCACAACACAGCTAAAATGGGAAATGGGATCCAAATGTCATCACTGGGTTAATGAGCAAACTGAACATGATGATTGTGTGCAGCAGGAAGTTACTCGCCTCCAGAAACCAAGATGTTCTTTTTTTCCATTTGAGTTATGGTTATATTATATAATAAGTTAAAATTTAGCTACGGTTTTTAAATGAAGTTGTAGTTGATTTTTATTGGAAATGTGAGACTAATGTTGTGGTGGCTTAGTGAGGAGAGGTTTGGAAGATTCACAAGTTCCCACAGGGCACACGGCCTTCAGCTTGGGAGATTTACACACATTTCGGGGTCCTTTGGATCAGGTGCAAGTAGCTAGCTAGCATCATCAAATAACTAGTTACTGAGTTCTTCTAATTCTACAGATTTTAATGTTTAAACTTAGAATATCACAGCTCAGAATTTCAAAATAATTTTAAAAAACAAAAATGTTTGCACATTAATAAAAATGTTTGCAATGACATGTCTAAGGAACTGTGAAGGATGTGTTTAACTTTTCAATGACTTTACAGTTGAAATTCTATGAATTATTCAGCAGGTTTCCCATAACATCCATTTAATTCTGGAGGGCACATGAGCATTCTAAGTCATTCATGCTTCCTTTAATATGCGAGCTATAAAGCAGGTCCATACAACCAGCCAGCAACTGACCCTGTCTGGCATTCTCTTAGGGAGGGATGCTTCTTTACATTGGAAAGTCAATACGCAGAGATGGGGGAAATGCAGGCCACTGGACTAAAGGGAAAAACAAAAGAATCCTGGATGAATGGATGAATCCTTATCCATTCCCCTGTCAGTTCCCTGTGACAGCTCTCTGAATTCTCTCAGCTCTAGTTAGAAAGAGGTTTTACTCACATATACAGATGCTATGGTAAACATGTAATCCTTATAACTGCTGTTTTCTGGGGAGCATGGGTGCTTTCCCAGGACTTGGAGCACAGAGGGGGAGATGAGGCCATCAGGGTCTGTGGGAAACAGTTTCTGGCATTCCTAGAAGGAAAAACTGAGTTAAACCTCAAGGCTGTCTGGTTCAGAGTTGTTTGGAGTTCAGTTCTTGCTATCCCTGCCATGTATCTGCCAAAAGATGGAGAGTGAATCTTAGCAGATAAGTAGAAGCTTAGGGAGCAAGGAGATGGGGCCCCTGAGCACAACAGAGGCTGTGGAGTGTGTGGGAAAGTGAGCTAGCCTCTTAGTCAGCTCAGAGCATCTCTACCTCTGCTCTGGTCTCCTATGTCCCAACCAGGCAGGAGATGGGGTAGGGTTTGACCTTGACCTGGGATATAAGGAGCCCAGTTCAGGTCGAGATGGAAGAATAGCTGACTCTGCAGGTTCTTACTAATAATTCTTTTATTTTGTGCAAATTATTTATCTAACTTGAACAGAAGTAAGCTTAAGTTCTGTTTTAAAAGATACTAAAGCCATCATTGCACAGTTTTAAAAACACGTATTTATTACAAGAAATAAAAACCCACACAGATCCCATTATCAAAACAAAATATCTGAGTATCACTGGTGTTTGTTTTCTCTAATAGATTCTCACTTGCTAGAAGATTGGTATGTTAAATATATATATACAAAATGGAACAGAAGTCTTAAGTCTACATTTTTCATAAAGTCTTCCATAAAGACTTAAATGTTTCCTTAGAACATTTTCACACCATGGAGCAGAACACAAATTTCAAGGCCCAGGTTTGTGCAGTGGTTTCTCCCCAGGTCACAGGGTGTGTCAGCGAGCCATGGAGGACAGGAGCCTATGGCTTGTCATGTCAGCGGGGCTGCTCAGGCCAAGACAGAGCTCCATGGTACAGCTTGCTCAGGAATATTTGTCCTGAGCAAACAGGAGCTAAAACTCTATAGTAAGCATATCTTCTGCCCTTAAAAGAAAAGTCAACTAGACCACAAGAAGTACTTTTTAAATAAACAATGCCTTTTAAATAGCATCTAGGATTTAGATTATATGGATGTTTTGCTTGGTATTTAGAAGATAACTGTTTCGAAGACTGGTTAGCATTTTCTGCTCAAATATAAGCCTTTAGTTTGTTTTCCTCGTAAGAGTTTTGAGTAACTAGATACAGTCCACATGTGTCTGGCTTATGTATGCTAGCCTTCCGTTGCATAAGAGGAACATCGTATGATGTGTTAATGTTTAATAGCTGATGCCTGAGGACGAGGGCTAAGGGCAGAGTGAGATCTGCAGTTCCTGTGTCCAGGGAGTTCTCCTGAGAGCATACACTTGTAACATTCTTCTAACACTTGGTAGTTGAGGGCTTGTAAATTCCTGAGTCACATGATCCGGGATGGTTAGAAATCGAAATGTTTGTGAGAGACTAAGAATGTAGCTTTGAGCTGGACCTGTCACAGATGACCCAGAATGGCACATCATTAACTGAAATGCAGAATACATGAGCATATGGAGCCAGCTTCAGGTTCAGTTTGCATGGTAGTCACTCCCATTCGTGGAATTATTCTGCAACGTGCTCTTTTCTGTACAGCAGAAAACAGCATGGATACCAGAATGCACCGAGCTCTTCAACAGGCTAGGGAAATGACTGAAGTGCTTGAGGAATTATCCTTAGAACACACCGGTGATCGGTACAAAATGAGTAGCTGCTGCAGATCCAACCACAGGACAACATGCCTGTTGCTGACAATACTGTATACTGGAAACTGTTTAGGGGGCGGATCGAGTGTTAAACATTTGCACTGCAGAAAAGAAGCTCTGACCAGCGGGCTGTTGGTTTATTAGCAGTTAAAGTGTTTATGATAAGGTGATTAGCATTTCCAGTTAGGAAAACAGCCCCACTGTTAGAGCTGTTAGGAATTTGCCCTACTTTCTTTCTTGGTTATTGGCTCTTGGTTGAGTCTGTTTTCAATAGCTAAGTGATCCCTCAAGTTTGCCCATTTATTTAGATTATTTGAGGTTTGCTGGCTTTCAGCTAACCCTTTGAATGGAGGTGTTATGTAGATGTTCTTTGCTAATATAGCTTTACTGGTATTATGTGGATGTAAGTTTTACCTAACAATGGTAAAGGTCAATACAGAGACTGTATCTTTGTTCTTCAGTTTGGATGAGTGTAGACAAATAAAAAATACGCCGACTGTAGGCTGTGTGATAAGGTCTGGGATTGTTAAAGTGAGAACCTGGTCTGTCCATCACCATCAGTACTCAGAATACATTAGTGGCTCTTGGAGGCTTTAAGACATATCAGTGTCTGGAACCCTAGCTCCAACAATTCTAATTTAATTAAGATGAGGTTTCCTCTGATGTAGTTTTCAAACTATATTTCTTCAGGTCAGTATAATGCACAGCTAGGATGGAGAGTCAACCTGGGCTCCTTTTGTTTCAAAGGCATTTGATACACCTGGCTTTTTTTTTTTTTTTTTAATGTATGAGGTTTATTGCACAGTGATTAGGGAGGTGGCAGAAAAGTTAGGTACAAATTCAATGGAAAATCTCTTGTCAGTGTAGTCATTCAGGGCACTAGCAGATGGACATGGGGCTAGCATATAGCGCTCTGAGGTGTTGGTGTCAAGACTTAGTATGCTGGAGTCTGCCATGTCTGAGCCAATGACTAAGCAGACTAAACTGCTGCTCCGCTGATGCTCAGAGCTGGGAGTGTCTCCGGCTTTGCTCTGTGTGGTAGTCTTGCTGCATAGTCTCTGGCACTCAGGTGTCCACAAGCGCCGCTGTCTATGAGCCTCAGAGGACACAGCCCAGCACTGGCAGTGGGCACCCAGTGTGGTCAGTGGCCAGGAGACTAAGAGGCTGCGAGAAGGAAGCCATGTTCCTTCCAGGATTTAGCAAGCATAGGAATGGAGCTTCCAAACACTTCTGGGAAAACTTACAAACACTTTTAGGGAAAGGCTTTTGGCGCCCTCTTCTGATATGATCAGTGACCAGGGCATAGGTATCGCACAACTGCTTTTGAATACAGGAGTCTTGACACTTTTTCACAGACATTTTGTCTATGTGTGTATGGGAGGTCTTCTGGAAAGATGATCCAAAGAATAGGTCAGACTGTGAAAGAATATGTGTAGCCAGTTGAAAATCACTGATATAAAAAAGGGAAAGAAGGGGAGACAGTTCTTAGAGACCACTCATCCTTCTGGAGTGTGAAAAGGAAGGTGAGCCAGCTGGGGAGTTAGGACAGAAGGTTGTCACAGAAGGAGACAGTCATGTACTGGAGTCAAGCCGGCACCTGTGTGCTTATTATTCCCAATTCCAAGGTCTGGGATGCCATGTTGTTAGCTCAGATTTGCCCATGTTGTGAGTTATTATACAATGGAAAAGCCAAATGCTGATGAAGCGGAAGCGAGAACATGAAAGTTGTGCAGGAATGCTGAGTGTTGTAGCAAAAAGCAAGTGCCTGGCCTGGAGAGATGGCTCAGGGGTAAAGAGCACTTGTAAAGGACCCAAGTTCCATTCCCAGTACCCTCATGGTGGCTAACAACTGACCTTAACTCCAGGTCCAGGGGATCTGACACCCTCTTTGGTCTCCTCAGGCACTGTATACATCTCACTTCCATACATATTCATACATATAAAAATAAACCAATCTTTAAAATAAATTAAAAAGCAAGTGCCAAGAGCCCCGAGCTTCTGGGTTCCAGAGCCCTGGAATCAGGCCCTTCTGGGTGGCTTTGGTTCCCACTGGTAGAAGCTGACTGCAGTGGCCTGAGCTCATTGGCTTAAAACATGAATACTGTGCTCAATCCTCAGTCTCAATAATGAGGGCACCTGCGGAGAGATGGATACAGTCAGGGATACACCAGGAAAAGTAGGTTAGGAACAGACACTAAAGGGTCTTGGTTACCCCCCAGAGAGGTGGAATGACTTCCTTAAAGTCACACTGCTAGTTAGTGGCAGAGATAACACTGGAATGAGAGCCTTGTTACTGTGCCTGCGCATGATACACTGTTTTGATTGTATTTTTAGGAGTTTGGACCTCCTGTAAGTCATGGGGTAGATGAGGGTAATTTCTTGTGTGGTGGTTTGAATAAGAATGGCCCCCATAGGCTCACATATTGGAATGCTTAATCACCAGGGGGTGGAACTTCTTGAAAGGATTAGAAGGATTAAGAGGTGTGGCCTTGTTGGAAGAAGTGTGTCACTGGGGGTGGGATTTGAGGTTTCACAAGTCTAAGCCCAGCCTCTCTTTGTTTGCCTGCCTGACTGCAGGTCAGGATGTAGCTCTCAGCTACTTCTCCATTTCTGCCATTTCTCTCCTTGACGATAATGGACTAAACCTCTGAAGCTCTAAGTAAGCCCCAATCAGCTGCTTCCTTTATAAGAGTTGCCTTGGCCATGGTGTCTCTTCCGTAACTAAGACACCTTGGAACATCATGGTCAGAAACCATGTTTTTGAAAAGTTAGCTTGAATAATAGGATGGATCCCAAGGATGAAAGGTCATCAGGGAGTGGGAAGGCTGGGGAGGAGAGTGCTATAGGCCAAGTAGAGAAGCATTTTGGGTAAAGTCCACTTCCTGATGACCATAAAATGGAATTAGAGGAAAGAAAAGGGTTCATAGAGTGGGAGACTAGAGTGAAGGAGCTCAGGAAGAGTAGCTGAAGATGGCAGAATGGAGACAAAGTTCAGGGCAAGACCAGGCAGCTGGGGTTGCTGCCGTGGCTGGGTTGCAGAGTGTTTCAGAAGACCATCTCACTGCCTCTCTCAGGTCAGCCTTGTAGAGCGTCGGGGCAGGCGTCCCATCGGAGCCTGACAGTGCAAAGCCCTTCTGCTGTATGGCTCTCCAGGCCACTGTGGCTCTCGGGACCAGTGGTATGCCTTTGCTCTCCACTAGCGATGATGTCATTCAGCCTTGGGAAAAGCCGTACTGACCTTCGACCTTCATCCTGGGAGCAAATAAGCAGATCACTTTTCCCAGAAACTCATCCTTCGCCAGGGCTGCTAAGTCCCTAGCTGAAGATCTGCTTCAGAAGTGGCACCTGTCAGGGAGGAAGACAGTTTAGGGCAGTGGTTCTCAGCCTTCCTCACCCTGCAGCCCTTTAACACACTTCCTTGTGTTGTGCTGACCCCAACAGTAAAGCAACTTTTGCTGCTACTTCATAACTGTAATTTTACTACTGTTATGAATCGTAATGTAAATATCTGTGTTTTCCGACGGTCTTAGGTGACTCCTGTGAGAGGGGTTGGTCTCCCCACAAAGGGTCGCAACCCACAAGTTGAGAACCACTGGTTTAGGGGAAGGCAAACTGACTTGTTAAACACATACTTAAATAGAAGTGACTGCTACAGAAAAATTAAAATTCTGAAGAAGGGAGTGTTGATAATCTAAAAGAGACTCAACATTTCATAGTTGTTGCACAGAAAAATCTGACTGTCTAATTCCTTTTAGGTGCTTTTCAGTGGGATGAGTTGGAAGAAGATGTCAGGAGGAAGTTGAAAGATTCAGGGGATGTTTCTGATGTGATTGAGAAAGTTAAATGCATTTTGAAAACACCAGGAAAGGTAAATTAATTTAACTCTGAGTTGTAACTGCTGTACTTTGATGAGTATAACAGTGAGTCACTAGCAAAGTTAAATAATTCATAAATATAAATGTTTTCCCTGTGTATATTTAAATATTTTAAACAGAAGCATATGTATTTCTTACTCAGGTTTTAATTTATGGGAGGATTACTATATGTGTGAGTCATGTCTTTGAAATGCTCATTTGTGAATTGTGCCTTCAGAACACCGCACAGGAACCCTGGGAACAGAGACCAGCCTGCCTCTGCATTCCTGAGTGCGGGGATTAAAAGTGGGCCCCACCACTGCCAGCCCGTCAGAAATGACAGGCCACCTGGCTCCTGCACCTGCATGTGAGCCTCCCGGAGGGATGTATTCTCACACCACATAGTTAAAATCAAATAGCTTTGGATTAAATCCAAGTAGTTTAAATCCAAATAGGGTTGTTCCCATGTGAAATTTTTAAAGAGTTCCAAGCAATATATAGACAGTTGAGGAGTCTCTTGAGTACATATTCAAAATTACAAACTAGGCTCAAGGTTATAAAAATACTGATGTTGTACGGCCATAAAACTCCAGTGATTTAGATTGTGCAGAGTCTGTAAAGATTTTTAGTGTATATTTGTTAAACTTTAAGACAACTGTATTGCACAATTTAGCCAGTTTATTCTTATTTCAGATTCTATGATAAGCAAATTTTGCTACAGTAGTTAAAAAGGTAAGTTGTTTGCAACGCTTAGCAAAATATAGGTTTTCCTTAAATATAAGAAAAATATTCCTTTAGTGTTTTTTTTTACAGATGACTTAATTCTACAGCCTACATTACTAACATTTTAAAGTTGATAGTTTAAAGGTGCAAACCGTATTAGTTTTTCATTCCCTGAATTTTTAAAAGTTGTTCTTACATTCACTGTGTGTGTGTGTGTGTGTGTGTGTGTGTGTGTGTGTGTGTGTGGACATGTACAGTCATGTGTGCCAAAGGCTACATGTGGAGTTGAGAGGACGACTTGTAAGAGTTGGTTCTTTCTTCTACCGAGGATTAAACTCAGACAGCAAGTGTCTCTACTCACTGAGCCGTCTCCCTGCCCCCGCCCCTTCATTTGAAGCAAGTGCTTATTATTTTATAGTCCAGACTGACTCCACACTCTCTTTGTAGCCCAGGTGAGCTTCAAATTTGTGACTTTCCTTCCCGGTGCTAGGGTTGCCTATGCGCAGCCACACCTGGCTTGTGCTAGCTTTTCATGAAAAGTCCTAATGTTCTTTAGTTGAGAAAAAGAGAAACACAGTAACTCCACGCGGCAGGTGTCTCCGGGCTGGCCAGACTTACAGGAATCAGAAGGTCCCTTTGAACCTAACTCAACTACGTAACCTTAAAAATGCACAAATACCTGCGTTCTGTTTAGGAAAACAGCCTGAGGAGTTTCCAGGAGAAAAGGAGAAAATCTCTCTCTCTCACTCACACACAGTTCATGCATGGATGCATGGTGTACATTTACGGAAGACTCACTGTGTGCAGGTTCATACCCTTTATGTGGAGCATGCAGAGTCTTGCTGGTGCTCTGAACCTGCGTCTTCTCCTTGAATCTGACTTGGCACCTGCTCCTTTGAAATACTGAGAGTAACATCACCTCCGACTGTCGGAGGGAAGACTGGGCTGTGTGATTCTGTCCTGACCTAAATGCCCTGTGCACAGGTGGAGGGTTCTTCCACTCCTACATACTTTCTCTTTACCAAGTGTGTCATAGGAATATGTCACTACACTGACTTGGCACTTGGGAGCGTGGATTTAAGTTCTGAGCCTGTCATGAATTATTGCTGCAGCTTTGAACAGTTCAGGCTTTTCTTTTAAACTGGGGATAAAACAAGATACCGCAAACCCCTGCTGGCTGGCTGTCACTCTTCTTTCCATGTGTCAGTCCCTTCATCCTAAATGTCAGTTCCTCCAGCGGGTGCAGTGTTGAGGCCAGCAAGTGGGCGACCAGGATCTGTGTTGCTCTTCCCACTCACGCTTGTGGGGTTCTGTGGGAGTGGGTTTTCCTCTTCCTTGTCAAGAGGATAGTATCGCTTTCCTCCTTCACAAAAGATTGCAAACTTCCCTTCAAAACAGATTGACACAGGCAGACAATTTGTGTCAATGGCTCTAATTGCCAGAGTTGGATATGGGACTTCTCAAGGATAGAGGCTCCTGATTATCTCAGCTGGCCAAGCATGAGAGTTCGATGAGGATGAGATTTGGAAATCCAGCCAGAGATCTGATGGACTCATCAAGAATGAGTAAAACAACAACAACCACAACAACAAAACCAAAACAAAAATTAATAAGAGCCATGACGAAACCATTCCAAAGGAGGGATTGTGGCCACACAATTTAAGATTGCAGCCCTAATTTGAGCAGCTCTACTTGAAAATATTAAGACTTGTTTTATTTCATTGGAAAGAAAAATTAGAGAAAAATACAAAAGAAAAGGCTGGGGGCAAGGAAAGGGAACTGGCTTGGGTCTGCTGGATGAACAGCAGATGAACACAGTGCTAAAGCTGACATCCGCAGAGGCTCCATGGGAGAAGGCTGGGTGGGGCAGGTGTGATGGGACTGGTCCTGTTGATATGGGAGGACCATTGGGAGCTATAGACCCAACACCCCAGGGCTTTTTGTAGGGTCCAGTAGCCTCTGCTGCATACACACATACACGAATTAGAAAATTGTATTCAAATGGAAATTCACCACTCTGAGGTGGTTTTTTTGTTGTTTTGTTTGATTTTTGGTTTTTCAAGACAGGGTTTCTCTGTGTAGCCCTGGCTGTCCTGGACTCCCTGTGTAGACAGGCTGGCCTTAAACTCACAGAGATCCGCCCAACTGCTGAGAGTAAAGGCCTGTGTCAACCACACCCAAATGCTCATTCTTTAGGAGAAAGACCTGTTAGCTGTCAAAGAACCTGTGTGATAAGGAAATGTATTTAGTCCCTGTTGCTTCAGTCACTCTCGGGGATTCGGGATACTGAGGCTCCACAGCTACCAGGTAGCCAATGGCTTGGTGCTGCTCACTGACATCCAGCAGATGAAGTGTTTCAGGGGTCGGCCCCTTCACACGTGATGAGAGGTGCCGTCATGAGGCAGTCATGTCTCCTGTCTGCAGTTTTCCATGTAATCAAAGCACACTGAACAGCTTCTTTCCTGTTTGTGCTGTGCTTTCTCCTGCTAGATTAATTGCCTGAGGAATTGCAAGACCTACCAAGCCCGAAAGCCTCTGTGGTTTTATAATACATCTCTCAAGTTTTTCCTTAATAAGCCGATGCTTGCTGATGTTGTCTTTGAAATACAAGGTATGGCTCAGCTGTTACAGAGCTGATTTTACATTTTTATTTCTTCCAGGTGTCCCTCACTTTTTGTTTGTTTGTCTGTTTTTCCAGACAGAGTTTCTCTGTGTATGTAGCCTTGGCTATCCAGGCTGGCCTCAAACTCCCACAGATCCACCTGCCTCTGCTGGATCTACCCCACATGCTGGAACTACGGGTGTGCACCACCATGCCTGACTTTATTTCAGCTTTAAGTTCCTGGGGTGGAGGGATTAGTGTTCTCCATTGTGGTATTACGTAAAGTAACATGAGCTGAATTTTAAGAAAATCATTTTATAAACTAAGGAAAGGAGTTAGTTTATGTTTCCTTAGTGTTTCCCTCCATATAGATTTTAACTACTCATCGGGAATCAGCAAGGGTGGGATGATCTTTAATGTGTCAGTTTGCATTTTATTTGTGTGTTTTTAAGATCCTGTGTTTTAGTCATCTGAAGTGAGCTCTCTTAAAAGCTCATTATCTCTTGCTTGGTTTATTAAAAAAAAAAGTATGACCTATCAGGCGCCCACAGTTACTGCTGAGCATGTCCCTTGTAGCACTGTGAAAATTATTATCACCAGAGCAACTGAGAAGTGCCTGCTGTCTCTGTGGGAAAGGAGTGCTGCCTAATTTTAATAAAGAGGAGCTATCTGGGAAGCCCATTACTGATTACTTGCATGGATAATTCTGCCACATTAGTAGATTAAATGCATGATCTTAAAGATGAATTGCCAGACACCTGCAATTATGACAGGATAAAAGGAATTGTTTGCAGATAAATTAAGCAGAACTGTACATGGGCCAGTGTAAAGAGAAAGCTATAGCTCTAGTTTGGGGGTAGAAATGTGTGGCAGCTAGCATAGATTTACTTGTCAATACCTTTTCCCAGAATGCTTCTTCTTACTTTTAACTTTGGTCATATGTCAAGAAAACTAGTGAATTGAAAATTTTTCCAAGGCTCTGTTGGCAGCACCATATGCAGTGTGAGCCTGGGACTCTGAAAGTGGGACAGTAAGAGTAACCTTGAGATATATTTAAAACACGGCAGGGGAGGGAGCCAGAAAGCAGCCATAGACCATCTCTAGCTCTCTCGTCAGGTCAGAAGAGATGCAGCTGACCGAGCAGCTGCTGGTAGTGGCACACTTGCATTTATGAATTGCCAAAATGAAAGGTCCAAAGTGTCCTTCTGAAGACAGCTTCATAATACTCCCTGTAGGCAGAGAAAGTCTTGCTAGAAGCACAGCCAGTGGTGATCACAGAATTAGCTCTGGGGGAATACTGTTGGGGAAGGCGTTTGTGGGAAGCACCTGAGTGAAACACCAGAACAGATAGCCAATAGCTTCCCATTCCAACAGAAAACACCCCATCCATTGATAAGAAGAAACAACCTATAAATTAAAAAAGTATTTCTAGCTGTACCAAATTAATTCTCTCAAGTCTGTTTTTGAAAGACAGAGCAACGGTTTCTTTGTTCTGAAGGAAAGTGCCTGATGGTGCTTGCCTAATAGAGCTATGGCCAGGCCACATACAATACAAGTAAGCCCAGCATTCATTCCTCCCTCCGTCCCTCTGTCCCTCCGTCCCTCTGTCCCTCTGTCCCTCCGTCCCTCTTTTCTTCCTTCCTTCCTTCCTTCCTTCCTTCCTTCCTTTTTCTTTTTTCTTTTCTTTCTTTTCTTTTTCTAAACTGGGTCTCACTATGTAGCCCTGGCTGTCCTGGAACTATGTAGACCACCAGCCTGGCCTCAGTCTCACAGAGGTCTACCTGGCCCCGCCTCCCAAGTGATTAAAGACATGCACCACCATATCTGGCTGTGGAATTCAGCTCTTAAGGTATGATCAAGTTCTAAGCATTTTGGCTGCCTGCCTTTTTTCCTTAAATAACCTAGGTCTCCTTGGTTGAAGTTCTAGGTGTTCCTAAGCCCCTAATTTTCTTCACTGAACTCTAGGCCCAGAGAAGCCAGAACAGGGAACCAGACCCCATGGGACTGGAATTACAGCTGGTTGTGACATGTGCATGCTGGAAATCAAAGCTCTGGCATAGCAGTCCATGCTCTTTGCCCCTTAGCCATCTCTCTAGCCTCTCATCTGGACCTCGAGCTGGTGAACTGTAACCTAGCTCTCCCACATTTGAATCGCAGCGTTAGCATCTGCTTACAGTTAGCATAGGAGGCGTTGGCACCAAGCATATGTCAGCATACCCTGCTGAGGTTTTTGAAGGAAATTTCTTTCTTTTCTTCTGCTGGGTCACGTCCTGACCCTTTCTGCCCACTCACCTTCGTGTGCAAGCACTCTGGGGCCCTGTCTGAGCACGTGCAGCTTCTGCCCTTAACTTCAGGCACTGGTCCTGTGTATAGCCACTCAGCCTTTTAAAGGTTACATTATTTATTTTTTTGTTTGGGGTGTGAGGTGTGTATGCCCTGGCAGGAGGTGAAGGTCAGAAGACAACTTGTGGGAATTGGCTTTTTCCTTGCACTGTATGGTTTCAGGGCCCAAACTCAGGCTGTATGGGTTGATGACAAACCTTCTACCCACTGGGGCATCTCATAAGCCTCGACTTGGTGTTTGTTTGTCTTGGTTTGGTTTGTCATTGTTTTGTTTGGCCTAAAATTTGTTAAAATTTGTTTGTTACGGTGTAACCAACCATGTTATGAGTTTATAATATAATTACATTTCTCCCTTTCCTGCCTCCAACCCCTTCTCCCCTCATATACTTCTCTCTGTTCTCCAAATTTATGGCCTCTTTTCCCATTAATTGTTATTAAGTGTGTATATGTTCATACATAGATACCCCTAACTGTACCTGCTCAGTCCATATTGTGAACTGTTCAGGGCTGAAACTGGCACTGAACACCCAATTGGTGTGCTCTTCCTAAATCTGTATTAAAGATACTGAATTAACATCTGGATATCAGTCAGCTCCCTTCTTTAGAATAATCTTAGTATTGTAAATATTTTAGGTAAGATACACAGTGAGAAAGGTTGCAAGTGTGGCTAAGATTTCACTATAACTTATAAAATGTTTTGTAATTTAGATTTAAGGATATTCATTATCCAATTATTAATCTAAGGGTGTCTTAGTTTCAGTATAAATCAATTTACATATAAGCATGTTTTCCCTTCCTGCGTTTGGTATGAAACATTTATTTTAGTGATTAATCACAAGTCAGATACACAGTCACACTAAACACAGCCAGTTCCATTTCCATCAAATGAAAACACCAAAACAAACCCAAAACTGTGAGATAGGGCTGAGGAGAGTCCAGAAGTGCTTCTTGTGACAACTCAAGCCTGAGCACAATGCTTACAGCCCACATAAAGCAAGGGGACTGGAGGCACAAGCCTCTGTCCCACAAGCGCTGAGGAGGTGGCCGCAGCAGGGACTCTTGGATAATCTGTCAGTCAGCCTGTCCTATCCAGCAGTTCCCTGGCCCATGAAAGAACTTGTCTCAAAACACGAGGTGCGAGGCAATGGAAACAACCTAAACGTCCTACCACTGACAAATGGATAATGAAAATGTGGCAAATGCGGAATACTATTCAGCTGCAGAGAAAAAAAGAAGCCATGGTCTCCTTACGTGGTAGCACCATGAACCTCAGAGTTCCATGTCCCCTGTTCCCCTATCCAGTGCTGTCTTTGTGCATTGGAACAATAGCTGGAGAACTCAGCACTTTCCCTGGAGAGTCAGTGTCTCGTGTGAGCTCAGGGGCATCACAGTTCACAGCCTGTCTCAGAGAAGGCATTGCTCGACAGTGGCCTCTTGAGTAGTGTACTGGGAAGGTGGCGTTATGGTCATCACCTTGGAAATGCTCACTGGGCCCTGTGCCTTGGCTTTGGTGATCTTCTTGCCATTCCTCCTGTGAGGTTGGGACTGTGTGGTTTGCTTTTGCAGTTTCCGGTTTCTGGTGTGGGGAAGTCTGAGCGAGACACCTTTTTGAGTTTAGTTAGGAAAGGCAGTGGGACTGTTTTTCTGGGAGGAGCATGGGTGGAGGCGGCAGAATCTCCAGGCACTCAGGAGGGACAGATGCTTTGTGATAAAAACACAAGCAAAGTTTGTCATTTCAGTTCTTTGGTCTTGAGGAAATCTAAACTAACAGCTGTTTTTCTGATTTGCAAAATTTTAGGTCCAAAGGCAAGTTTAAACCCTGTTTCTCAGCTGTTGTAAGGAGCCTCTACAGCAATGCACATCATCTGCTCCTCTGCCCAGCTGCCCGCTTGTCATGGACAGTGGCACTGCAGTAAGAGCTGGCTGGTAACTCTGCCGCATTCTCTTTCTTGATTTGGTTTACCTTTCTCGCCATTCAGGAGCGACCGTGCCAGCCCACAGGGCCATCTTGGTGGCACGATGTGAGGTGATGGCAGCCATGTTTAATGGTAATTATATGGAAGCCAAGAGTGTCCTGATCCCAGTGTATGGTGTTTCCAAAGAGACTTTCTTGTCGTTTTTAGAATACTTATACACAGACTCTTGTTGCCCAGGTACGTGGTATGAATGCTGTAATACAATATCTCACAGTTCTTTCTGGTCGCTCCTCTTGATAGATTGCTTGCTATGGAACCTATCTTGTTTAAGGTCTATCAGAGTTGATGCTGGGGCATTACCTAAGCAGTTTGAGATTATATAGGAAGAGCAAAGAATTTTAAGTTAGTTCAAATGGAAGAGCAGTGGTAGGAGCCTTCACATATCCTAGCTGCACTAACAGCAGGGTCATTGATTAGACACTTGAGAACAGAGGTATTTGCAATAGCTAGTGGCTGCTCTAATTTTAGAGTTTGGGGCTCACTACCTCTTCAACAAGAACAGGGCTAGAAAATAGCTTTCATGGTCCTCACATCGAGATGAGATATTTTTTTAGAACTTTTGATATTCTGAGACCCCAATCTTTTCAGCTCTGAGGATGTGGGATTTTTAAAAGATGCTTCAAAGTCAGATTCCTCTAAAATTGGCATCTCTGAAAACTTCCCCTGAGATGTTTAGGGTTCCAGTAGACTATAGGATTTATGTATGAGTTCACTAACCAAAGTTGTCTTTGACCAGCTCACGTTAATAATGTGCAGCAGCTAAATGTTAGAACAGATCTTGCAAGGTTTCGTAGATAGCACAATCCTTTCAAGTAGGCACTGGAGCCCCTTGAAGGGTTTTATCCCATTCTGCCACCAGATGGCGTCCTCCTCAAACACAGCTGAATGAGCTCTACATATGTTGGTGACCTAGAGAACGAGCCCGTGATCATGAAACTCAGCAAAGAACCCTAGAGAAAGACCATGCCTTCTTTTAGACTCGTTGCTCTAATTTCTAGAATAGGAATATTTCCCACATTTGTTGTTTGAGTAAATTTTGAGTTAAGTCCTGAGTCCTCTATGAAAGGGTATGGAGGTTCCAAACGAGAAAATACCTTCTATGGTCAAATTGTCTCAGTTAGCTGTTTTAGGTTGTTAATTTCAGCAATAATAAGGATTGGCATGTTATTTTTGCTTGATGAAAAATGAAAGCATTGGCTCTTAGTGGAAATAAATGTTATTATTTTCTTAATACTGTGAAATTTGAACATTTAATAAAAATTTTGATCAGAAAAATTGTCAGGAAAGTAATAGTAACTATAGGGCATAACACTATAAGAATTAGTTAAAGGGGAATTTGGGGAAAGTTAATCAAAATGAAAAATAAGACTTAAGCTAAATATTACTGTTTATGTGTGTGCAAATGTGAGCATTTTTTAATCAAGAAAATTGGAGACTATTAGTCTATTTGTGTTAAGTATTGCCAAATTAACAATGTTCTTGACCTCATAGCTACAATGGAATGTAATAAATTTAAGGAAATGTAAGAAATAAAAGTACACATCAATAATGCTAAAATTAAAAAAAATATATACCAGGCATGGTGGTACACATCTTCTTTAGTTCCAGTACTCAGGAAGCAGAAGCAGGCAAATTTCTGAGGTTGAAGCCAGCTTGGTCTACATAGTGAGTTCCAGGACAGTTAGGGCTACATAGAGAGACCCTGTCTAGACAAGCCAAAACAAACAAGAGTACTATTGAATTAGGACAAATCAAGGTGTTATCTCCAAGTTGTTTTAGTGATCACATTATATAGTATCACACTCAATTTTTTTAATCCAGTTTCATTTTTCAGTGTTTTAGTAAAGGACTTATTCATAATAAAATTATAAACTTACTGTTCTTGTTTCATTTCTGCTATGACAAAATACTGTGGCAGAAAGTAACTTATGGGAGAAAGCATTTACTTTAGTTAACAATTCTAGGTTGAACTCTGTTATTTTAGGAAAGTCAAGGCGGCAGGAAATTGAGGCAGCTAGTCATATCACACCGATGGTCAAGAGCAGAGAAAGATAATTGTATTTATCCTCTCAGCTCACTTTTCCTGCTGCAGTACAGTCAGGACCCAAGCCTAGGGAATGGTGCTGCCTGCAGTGGACAGGCCTTCCCACCTCAGTGATGGTGCTCAGGAGGCAGGCATGCCCATAGCCAGCCTGCTTTAGTCAGTCCCTCATTGACACTTTCTTCCACAGGAATCTAGATTGTGTCGACTTGACTGTTAAAACTAGACAAAGCACTCTCCAACTGAGCCATATGCACAACTCTAAACCTAGCAAAAACTAATTTCCAGAGATGGACAAGAGAGAAAGAGGGTAGTTACTGTTTCACGAGTACAGAGCTCAGTCTAGGAAGGTGAATGAATGATGTTCTGGAGAATAAATAGTGATGATAGATACACTGTAGTGAAATGGTGCTTCATACCACTGAACTGAGTACTTCTAATGTTTAAAATGGGGCCAGTGAGACGGCTCAGTGTGTAAAGATCTTACCCTGACAACTTGAGTTTAATCCCTAGGCCCATGTGGTGGAGGGAGAAAACTGACTCCTGAAAGTTGTTCTGAGCTCCACGTAGGTGGGCACTGTGGCATGGCATTCACACCCCTCCAATACATGTGAAATAAATAAATGTAATTAATTTTTAAATGTTTTGCAGTGGGGTTTAAGAGGTAGCTCATCAGGTGCAGGGCAGGATGCACAGGTACAAGAACTCTGTGCAGCCCGTATCTCCAGAACAAAAGCTGGGAGGGAAGGTGGCCCTCCTGTAATCCCAGCACCGAGGAGAGAGGGACTGTCCAGAGCAGTCGGCAGAGCCAGATGAAACTTAAACTCCAGAATCAACAGTGAAAGACCATGTCGCAATATATAACGTGGTGAACAATGGAGGAAGACACCCAGCCTAAACCTTGGGCCTTCACACACGTATACAAACGCAGATACCATATGCATGCATTCACTTTGAACTAAGTTTTATGTTTAATTGCCATAGAGAAAACACAATAACAAGCTTGAGGACTGTAGCTCAAATGGTAGTGTGCGTGCCCGGCATGCAAGAAGTCCCGGATTTGACCCATAGCACAGTACATTGGGCATGGTTGTACACACCTGTGATTTCAGCCCTCCAGGGTAGAGGCAGGAAGCTCAGAAGTTCAAGGTCATTTGACTGCATGAGGAGTTGGAAGCCAGCCTGTGATATGTAAAACCCTGAGTAGGGATAGTGGAAGAAGAAAAGATGGGATTTAATTTAGCTAATAGAAAAATTTACCCTTTAATACTCACACGTGGGACACAGAAGCAGGCGGATTGGAGTTTAAGGCATGCCTGGTCCACACAGTGAGTTCCAGGCCAGCCAGAGTTCTATAGGAAGGTCCTGTCTCTAACAAACAAACAAGCAAGAAAAAGAAAAGAAAGAAAGAAATGAGGAAAGAAAATTTTAATTAGCTAGCTCTATGTTGGTAAAAGGCAGTTACTGGATTTCCTTCCCTAGAGACCTGAGCGTGGGAATTCTCTTCGGACAAAGAAAGCTTAAATGGACTATGTACAAACTGTAGACAGGGATGTGCTACTGGGACTTTTCTTAGGAGTTCTAGTCCATGCTGAAGGATAACTGTTTTAGGAGAGAGAGAGAGAGAGAGAGAGAGAGAGAGAGAGAGAGAGCGTTGATTTGGTTTTTGCTGCTGCTGTAGCGCTGGAACTCACTATGTAGACCAGATTTAACTTCAGCCTCATGGAGAACCACCTGCCTCCGCCTCTCAGGTACTGGGATTAAGGTACACACGACACCCAGGCCACACTGTGCGTGTGTTTGTGTTGTTGTTGTTGTTGTTCCTTGAAGCAATAGTGTCACCATCCACCCTCTTTCATTTTCCTTCTCACCAGCTGGCATTTTCCAGGCCATGTGTCTCCTGATCTGTGCTGAGATGTACCAAGTCTCCAGACTACAGCACATCTGTGAACTCTTCATCATCACACAGCTGCAGAGCATGCCCAGCCGTGAGCTGGCCTCCATGAACCTGGACATTGTGGATCTGCTCAAAAAGGCAAAGGTGCTTGGCCTGGGGAAGGGGTGGGGCTCTTTCAATTTAAAATACGCATGTATTACTTTAAGTTATCTGTGTTTTAACAGCTACATCGCGGCTAGTATTTTAAAGTTTGACTAAGAAGGATATAGTTTCTCTGCACCATTTTTTTTATGGTGAAATAATTTTGAGACATTAGGTTAGAAATTGTATGATTTTTTTTTTCAGTAGTGGTCCTAATCAAAGTTATTTGAGCGTGGCTGTGCTATAACCATTGGCATTACAGGAAATAGAATTTTCTTCCCAAAAGGATAATTTCTTAGCGTTACTGAAAGGAAGATGTCAGGATGTAGCAATGGACGCAGTTACTGGAACTATTTACCTCCTCCTTCGTTCTTTCACTTTATGAGCATGTTCTGAGCCTCAGTGGCATGGTGGCATCATTCGTTGACTTTGCCACCATGTCTTGCTGTGTCAGGAATCTATTACAATTAAATGTGTATGATTTGGGGTCACTGAACTGGCCTCTGGCTCCTTCCATGCTTAAGTCACTGTTAAGTACACTACTACTAATTCTAGAAAATGCCTGCAGTTTGCACAAGACACTTGTGAGAAGCTGTGGTTATAAAGACTCAAGAATATGGACGCTGAAGAGGTGGCTCAGCCTTAAGAGCACTTGCTCTTCTAGCAGCGGACCTGAGCTCAGGCCCCAGCACCACCATGGTGGCTCACGATTATCCATAGGCGTGAATTAGGTGCACATGTAAACATGCAGGCAAAACATGTGTGTGTGTGTGTGTGTATACACACATATATGTATATGTTTATATATACACACTCATATATGTATGTTTATGTGTGTGTGTGCATACACACACACACACACACACGCACACACACACACACACACCCCTTTAAAGCCCCTAGAGTATGGATCTGAGGAGGACAGGATCAGGTCTGTAAATAAACTGGGATCATGTGTTGAAATCTGTTCCCCAGACCCCTTGTAGTCAAAAGCACATTACACACTCATTCTTAGCCTCTCTCACACACGGGAGAAGACCGATTCTCATAGATCCTCCAGCTGTGTTATTGTCCATTTACCCCACTGCTGCTGAATGTGCCCTAAGCTGAGCTGTCTAGGCCATCTGTAATCTATCCCTCTAAAAGGGGATACCTTAAAATCCTGTCCGGCTTCCAGCCCATGCCTGTCCCTGTCAGCTTCGACCCCCAGAGCTCACAGAAGCGTGCTGGCTTACTCTTCAGGCTGCAGAGTGGAGCCATGTGGTGGAAAGGAGGACAGCATTCTTGACAGCTGAAGCTTGCCTCCAGGCTGAGCAAATTCATTATTCATTGTAGATATCTCTGGGTATAGAAGGAAATTTATTTAAAGCATCTGGGCATTTTTAACTTTTGATTTTGGCCTTCATTTGGGTCATAATCAAGTCTTAAGATCTGATGTATTTAATGTTATGGATTAAAAACAAGTTTTAAAAGTCGGATAACCCTTATCTTTCTCTTCTCACACTGACCTTGAACAAGCTTTCCTCTTGTTATCGTGCTTCCAGCCTGAATCCCTTTACTTTTGTTTTACTGTACTTACTTGAAAAATGGGTTGCTTTTATCCCAAGCCAGCCCTAAACTTGCAGTGCAGCAGAAGGAGGTCTTGAACTTTTGATTCTCCTTGCCTCTACTTCTGGAGTACTGGAAGTCAGAGCATGAGCCACTGCTGGTTATACGCTACAAAAGCCGCAGCCAGGGGCGTCATGCTGCTAGGCAAGCCCTCCACAACAGAGCCACATTCCCAGCTCCCCTCTGTTCACACTCTGCTGGCAAGTGCTTCCTGCTCTAGAGGCCTGGTGTGAGTCGCAGTGTGTGCTTCCCGTGTGGTAGTGTGTGCTTCCCATGTAGTCGTTTGACTTGCTGCCTTAGGCGCCTCCTGACAGTTGCACTTGTGATTGCTTCTTTATCAGCAAATTCTTCCTGATTGGTTTTCCCTCTACGAACTTCCAACTATCCTTAGTTTTCGCTCTGAATTTAAAAAGCCTAATGTATCTCTGTGTCTTATAGTTTCTTTTCAAACTTAAAAAAATGTGTGTTTTTATTTATCTTAAATGTGTTGGTAATTTATCTGCGTGTGTATCTCTGTACCCACAGAGGTACCCACAGAGTACCCACAGAGTATCTGGGTGCCCACGGAGGCCAAAGGGGGCTTCACATGCCCTGGAACTCTAGTTATGGATGCTAATATGTGCCTGTATGAATGCTGGGAAGCAAACCCGGGTCCCCTGCAAGAGCAGCTGCTGCTCTTAACCACTAAGTCACATCTCCAACACCAGTTTATTGCTTCTTAAGACCTTTCTAAAAATAACTTTTACTCTTTCTAAGTGTGTATATGCATGCTCCTGTGATCCTCATGTCATTAAGAATGTGCCCTTGAGGGGGATTATAGGAACCCCATTTCCTCCCTCTTCCTTTCATTTTCTTCCCAGCCACGAGGCAGATTTGCTGTGCCTGGCATGCTTGTATGTTCTGCTTCTGCAGGCCTGAAGGAAAGACTCTATCTAACCAGTTATAGATGGAAACTTCTACAACTGTGAGCCAAATAGACGTTTTCTGTTTATAATTTTATTGTCATCAGTGTTTTAATAGAGCAACAGAAGACAAGAACATAGCAGCTTCCTCTTGGAAGGTTTGAAATTCCCTGTTCGGTCTATGTCCTCACCAGCTCTCTGTCTTTCCACAGAGTTAAGCTCCTCCGTAGCTTTCTGAATCAAAATTTCCCATCACTCTGTAGCCATCTGTGCCACATCTGTACTGTGTATCAGAAAAGTCATCACTTGTGTCCTGCTTTGGAGGGGAGCAGTTTCAGTGTGCCTGTCTGCTCTCTCCCTCCCTACCCTCGCTCGTTCACTGCCGTGGGACCTATATGTCCATCAAGATGTTCCAGCACACTTTCTGTCACTCACTATAACAGAGACGTGTGTTTCCCCATTCGTATTGGTCTCTTCAGGCTGAGCTGAGGGCTCTCTGTCTCGGCTCTCACAGAAGCCCTGTCTGTCCCAACTTTGGGGCCGCCTATGAAGTTGCACTTACTCCCATATTCAACTAAATATGTCTTCTTATTTATCATGTATATGGCATTGTTTAGCTACATTAGAGTATAAACTTTGTTTTTTACTTTTCTTGTGAGCTCCTAGGTACTTTTCCCATGCTTATTAGCTCTAGTTCTATAACATTTGGTTTGTATTTTTTTAAAACCTTTATCTTTTTTAAAGCCTTTGTCTTATTTTCTTAATTTTTTTCAGTTTAAACCCTTTTTCATAGGATAACACATGCTTTTCCTAAACACCAACTTCATTTTTTGTTGTTGTTGATTTGTTTTGTTTTGAGACAGAGTCTCATTATATAGCCTTGGTTGGCCTGGAGATTGCTGTGTACATCAGGCGGCCATTGAACTCTGAGAAATCCTCCTGTCTCAGCTTCCTGAGTGCTGTTGTTAAGTGTGTAAGTCACCATGCCAGGCTTAACGCCTAATTTTACCACGAGGTGCCTTCCATTTCTTGCCAGAATACCTTAATATATTTCCTATAATATATATAACAGCGCGGCTGTGCATTGGAGGCTGTTTTACAACCAGCTTTCTCTCCTTTGCTCAAGCCAGGGCCCTTTGTGTGCCGGTCCTCCACTCTGCTCAGTTTTCTAGTAGCTTCTGTTAACACAGCAATGGGTTCTTCTTGTACCTCCTGAGGTTACTAGCCTTCATCTGCTAGAAGATAGAGGGAAGATTATTAAAATAGGAGATAAAATGTTCCTTCCAGTTCGCAACTTGTGTCCTGAAAAGAATAGGTAGCTGTGAGTTCATATGTTAAAATTTTATTTTAACTTAAAACACAACTTTTTATGAGATTTAGTCCTTGGGTTGATTCCATCATTTATGAAATTATAACTCTTTAATTTAGCATTGCTTATTGCTTATGTAACCTTTAAGTGTTCTTAAAGGAGCTACCTTTAGCCAAAAGAGAAACATTATGAAAGCCCATCTATGGAAGAATAGATAGACCTAGTGCGGCACATGTATACAATGGAATGCTGTTCTGCTTGTAAAAGGAATGGAGCTTTTATATAAGCGACAACATGGAGGACCTTTGGAAGAAGCTATGTAAGTGAAATATGATAGAGAAGGACAAGTATTGTATGATTTCCCTTATATCAAGTACCTACTTTAGTCAGATTTATGATGACAGAAAGGAAAATAGTGCAACCAAGGACCCTGGGAATTAAAGGAAAATTATTTATTTTAAACAAATACAGTGTTCATTTTGGATGACAGAATTGTCTGGAAATGGATGCTGTTTGCACAGCATGTGAATGAACCTAGTGCCACTAAACTGTCCACTTAACAGTAAGTCTAAGTAAAAACTGCAATGACAGTGACAGGGAACTCTGCCAAAGTCACCTGTCATCAAGTTACTAGTTCAGATTGGTGGTTGGCTGGACCAGTGTGTGTCTGGTTTGCCCGGGAAGATTCTGTTATCAGCCAAATTTCTCTGAGTCTCCTCCTTCAATTAGCAGCTCTCTGTGTAGCAATGACCCTGAGAGCCAGCTCCGACTTGCTCATGGAAGTATTTATATGCGGAAACCCCACTCCTGGGCTCGGAGTGCTTACTGCTTGAAATGTTTTTGATTTGTTCCTCAGATAAACTTGCTGGGAACTTGTTCACTATAATCTGCTACACAGACATGAATATGGCTGGTGACGCCTATGACCTTGTATTCAAAGTTTACTTTAAAGCATTAAGACCCTCAGTGTTCAGTGGGCTGCTCTGGCATAGGAGCTTGTTCCTGGTGACCTGGTTGACTTGCTGAATGATCTAACCTTATTAGTAATTAGTAATACTCTACTGTCCTGTGGCCACAGCCAAACACTGATGCACTTACAGGCACACAACTCAGGGTGTGGCCTCTGATTCTCCCAGACCATTGTCTCCGTCTGATCAGAACTGATGTATGATATTGTTTCCTTTGTTATGTTTATTACAGTTTCACCACTCTGACTGCCTTTCCACTTGGCTGCTTCATTTCATTGCCACTAACTACCTCATATTCAGCCAAAAGCCCGAATTTCAAGATCTTTCAGGTAGGTTGCTGCTTCTGCTTCAAAAAAGGAAATGTTATGGCCTTGTTTGAGGCTTGAGATATAATTAATAAAAAACAGTCACATAAGAACATAAATATATTAACGCATTTCCTTTCAGTTCTGCTGTGTAATTGAGGACTCTCACAGTCACCTGCATTGCATAAGCAGCTTGACCTGTGTTACACAAGATGCTTTCTAATGATTATTTTATAGTACTCATGCATTTTTAATTTTTTTCTGGCAGGAGAGTTCAGGTGTTGACAATTGTCCTCACCTGCTACTTGGCTTTGATAAATGAGACCTCGGTTTTAGCTACTCAACTCTGGAGTAAACCTTAAACAATATATGTTTAAGCTTTTTTCTTTTCATAGAAATGTATATGTGTGTATATATATATATATATATATATATATATATAT